CCTGCCAGGTTAGAACTATGGTAGAGAGGTTGTGGGCCTTCTCTGTAGAAACACCTGATTTATGGAACCGCCTTCCCTATCTTTCTGGAGGAGCTGCAAGACTTTTTAAAAAATTCTGCATGGCTGTTGGTGAAGAGATTGGTTGGCTATTTCATTTTTTGCTAATGTATTTATGTGTTTTAATAATTTGTTAAAACATTCCAAGTGATGGAAAAACAGCCTAGAAATCTTTAAAAGTAAGGTTTTAAAGCAAAGGAATAAATAAGTTCAGTGCCTTCATTTTACTGCTTCTTTTTTTTGTACAGGACTAATCATGTTTGGATCAATCAATTTCGCATTGCAGAATGGGTAAACCCCATCTCTCCCTCACACACCATGCCTTCTCTCAGAATATTTCCCACCCCCCATATGGCAACCTACTAAATAAAAAGGCGAAACTAAAAACAGAAGAGACTTTATCGAAACAAGACATAAAACTGACCTGGTGGGAAAAAATATATTAAAATCTAGATATATTGAAGATAAAAAAACAGGATTTTACACTAGTCTAAATGAATTTGATAAAATTTGGTTATTCTCCAGCGATAAACTTATTCAGAAACTCTATCCTATATTAATAGAGGATTTCCTACGAGAAGAAACTATAAAAACATCTATGTTAGGCTGGATAAAAGAGATTGGCCACCCAATAGAAGCAAATCAATGGACTAAAACATGGAAATCATTAAAATTTATGAGAGCTGCGCCGTATAAAGAAAACATATACAAAATGTTCTATAGGTGGCATTGGACCCCTGTTAAAGTCGCAAAATGTCTCCCAAAAGTGTCGAACATTTGTTGGAGATGTGGGAAAAACGTAGGATCATATCTTCACATATGGTGGAGATGTGACAAAATCCAGATATTTTGGGGGGAAATTGCTAAAATCCTTCTAGATGTTACAAAAATAAACATGCCCTTAGAGCCAGAAATTTGGCTACTTAATATGATACCGGAAAACATTAAATCACATACACAGATAATTGTATATATTTTTACAGCAGCCAGAATCCTGATAGCAAGATGTTGGAAATCCAAAAGAATACCATCTATAAGAGAACTCAAAAATAAGTTGCTTGAAATAGCTGAAATAGATAAGTTAAATATAATACTACAAAATAAGCCAGAGGAACTCTTTGGGGACAGATGGAAATTATTCTATGACTGGCTGAAGATGAAAAAGATAAATTAAAACTGAATACTGCTAGTATGAGATAAGAGTTGTCAAATGTGGAAGACGTAATGGGTATTATACGTTGTATTTGAATTTTAAAGTGATATGCTGTTAATTTTTGTTCATGGTGGCAAATGAAAATAAATTTCAAAAAAGAAAGAAAGAAAGAAAGAAAGACAGACAGACAGACGATGGACCTGTAATATTGTCAAGTTTTACAATATAACATGATTCTTACTTAACATGTGTTGTCATCTATATCACAGTGTTTTCTTGTTTGCTGCCTCACCTGGAGGATGGCAGCAATGGTTCCCCAGGAGGAAATGGCTGGTTTGGAGGGTGTAGTCGATGGCATTGTACCTGTCTGAGGTCCCACCCCTCCTCAAACCCTACCCTCTCCAGGCTCCACCCCTCAAATCTCCAGGAATTTCCCAACCTGGAGTTGGCAACCCTGTCTCCTTCCCAGCCGACCATCAACCTACCTTTATCTGCCCCTCTGACTTCAGCTTTCTATCCCCCCCCACACTTGCAGCCTCTACTTAGGTAAAGTACAGTCTTTCTTCGCAGTGAGGACCCAAGGAGGAAGGAAGCAACCTCACTTTAAAGTTATGATGAATTATACAAAGTCATCAAGTCAGTTACAGATGGTTGGTGCCTGAAGGATTGGTCTTTAAATTTAAAGACAGAAGAGAAAAGATAGACTCTATCTTCAAGGCTCAAGACTTTTTGAAGAGGCACGCCAGTACAGAAGAAGAAGCAGAACTTGCCAAGTGGATGTCGGGAGCCAGCGGAGAAGACAGCAGCTCGGAGGGAGAGGTGAAAGATGAGGAAGTTAAAGGAGCGATTGGCCCGAAGTACAACTTGAGGGACAAAAAAGGGAAAGACCCCAAAGTTTAAAGACTATTTCGGATAATGCTTTAAAAGCAATACTAATCCCAAAAGGACATTACTAACATGTTAACTGTTCGGCTTTGAAAGAGAGAGAAGAAAAGAGGATCGTCCAACTACAGAAGAAGCTATTGACTTTAACTTTAATACTAAATGACTAATATACTAATACTTAACATCACTCAACACTTTTCTTTATCCCTCTATAGACCGTCCCCAATTTTCTGGATTGTAAAAGCAAAACTTCTCTCCTTTTTAGGAGAGGGAAATAAAAAAATAAAAATAAAGTTATGATGAATTATAAACTTAAAACTACTTCTACTTTATTTGGTATTTTGTACCAGAAGATACTGAACACGGCTAACTAAACATGAACAAGAAACTTGGTTTCAAATCAGTGGAACTGTACTCATTGCTAAGGGAGGAAACGTTGCAAATTTTGGTGATTGTGTGTTTTTCAGTGTAAATTAAAGAAGAAAAATCAGTACATTTCTTGTTGGCATGTCTATATGGAAACAAACCATCTTACAGTTCTATTTTGTCTTCCGAAGTCAGCTGCTATTATTTAAGAAGAAACTTCTGTCACAGAAGCTTAAGAGGTATCCTCCCTCACTCTGACATCCTGCCTCCAGAGCTATCACACAAAAAGATTTTCAACTGGAGCTGATGCTAAGGAGACAGGGCTCCTCCAAGGATCCTTAAGATAAGGCATCAGAGGCCACCAGCAGCCCAGTCTCCCCCTCCCTGTCGCTTAAACTGCCCACTATAAGCACCAGAGTAGTGCAATGTTTGTTTATCCTATATTCTAATAGCCACCCATAGCCCACATCTGCAACTAGCTAAATCCGTGCATCATGGCCACACCTCAGAGGCTAAACAGCTCTTTCGTAACAAAAAACCCTTAAATCTTAACAAAAACATATTGGGAGGTTTAAATTGCCCCCAAATAATAAAAAAGTGTTGTCTGCACATATGCAGAAGCTCCCAGGCACCACCATTGAGCTTAAAGGTGGGTGGTAGGGTCTGGAGCCACATCAGGCTAGGCAATGAGGGGGAGATAGGATTCCCCCCTGGAAGTCCTGCTGAGCTCGCAAGGAGGGGATCAGGTGAGGTGGGATGCGGGAATCCTCACCACCTCCCCTATCAAGCCCATAAGTCTACCTGCCCACAGAGCCATAAGAGAGGAATCAGGGTGCAAGAGCCCTCGCTGCCCCCCCCAAGCCAGCATGCTCCACTGCCCGCCCGCTGAACAGGCAATCATGAGGATTGGGTGTAGGGTGCAAGAGTCTTCGTTGCCCACCCAACCAGGAAGTCTGGTGTAGAGGTGCGGCAGTCCTGGCTCCCCCTCCTCAGCTAGTGCTGAGGGAGCTAAATGGCTGCGGTGGCAATAGAGGGGTTGGCTGGGAGATGCAGCAGTGACAGCAATGGGGGGAGGGATTCCCCCCGCAAGTATTGAGGGTCCCCACTTGTTTGACTTCTCTTTACAGTCCACCTTTCTTGCTGAGACTCAAGGTGCACTACAAAATATAAAAAGCAAAGCAATCAAGCAACATAAGGCATCCAATTAAAATGCAACAGGACTAAGAGTAGAACAAGAAAACAGAGCAAATAAAATACTGTTTAAGGCAGTGTTTCCCAACCTGTAGGGTCAGGACCAACAAGTGGGTCACAACGCTTCTGAAAGTGGGAGGCAGACGAGCCCTCCCTAATGGTAACTTCTGCCCTTTGCATCATTATTTCTCCCCTTGTCCTGTTTGTCAGCTTCTCACATTCTCACTTCCACTTCCCTTTGCAACAATAGTAAGGGGGAAATATCTGTCAGGAAAGTAGCAATATTACAATAATAGCTGGAAGGTGGGGGGGGGAGCTGGTGAGTTGGTGGGAACTGTTCAGTGTGTGAAAAAGCAAGCGGAAGTGAGAAAGACGTGTGTGCATATGGGAGGGTTCATCTTCTTGCTCAGTCCCCCAGTAATTCACTGCCCTCTACCTGCTGTATAAGATGTACCACACCAGCCTTCACTGCTAACCCCTTTGCCACCATTTGTCATCTTCACACCTCTCCTCAACACCCCCTATGCGCCTCCTCAAACTCTACCATGTCTTAGCTGGCAGAGGAGGAGATGACAGAGAGAGGTCCCTGCTCTCAAGAGGCTGTCTTCAGGGGGAGCCTTGTCAACTCTCCACTTGGTAGAGAAGACCTATGCTTGGTGTAGTGGTTAAGTGCACAGACTCTCATCTGGGAAAACCGGGTTTGATTCCCCACTCCTCCACTCGCAGCTGCTGGATGACCTTGGGCAAGCCATAGTTCTGTCAGAGCTGTCCTTGAAAGAGCAGTTCTTGAAAGAGCTCTCTCAGCCCCACCTACCTCACAGGGTGTCTGTTGTGGGGAGGGGAAGGAAAGGAGTTTGTAAGCCACTCTGAGATGCCAAGTGAAGGGCGGGGTATAAATCCAATCTCTTCTTCCTCTTCCCCTTCTCCCCCAAGTGACATGTTTATGGATGGATTTGGTTGCTGTAACAGAGACCTCTAAATTTCCCTATTCACACACCCCACTGTGTGGGTTGAATCTTTCCTCTTATCACAAGCAGACACAAATGAAAATCTAAACTTCAGCCACTCTGATGGTGGTCAAAGGTAGCATAATGCTCAGTGGTTGAGTAGCATCTATCCTCCCATGCATGGTGGTTCCTTCCCAATGAGAAAAGAACCATATCTGTCTTCTAAGCTGAAATGGAAACTAGGGGTGCTTTCACAGCTTATACTACGCTAAGCACCTTCCATTGTACTGAAGTTGAATTTAAGCCATCATCTATTACCAGCGGTGATATTTCAGCTTCATAGCAAAAAGAACACATGCTGTCACACATGATAAATGCAACCAATTGTGCTGTATCAATAAGTAAAATGTGACGTTTGACTACAAATGATAAGCATACACATTTTCCTATGCAGAATAATATCTCTGTAGGAAAATCATAATGTGTAAAGTGGCTTTAGAAGAACCAACTTCAGTGCTAAATCTGAGAAGGCTTTCACCTATGTTTTGGGGGGGAAAGATCTGACCCTGTAAACAGTATCTTCCATGTCATATAACAGTTGATGCTTTTTCTTCGGTGCATATGCACACTGATTGATAAACTATTAAGTAAAATGTGTTCTGATGGTTACTAGAGTGAGTTTCTTAGAATATTAAAGGGAACTAGAACGGGAAATGGAGAAGAAGAGGCTAGAACGTAATTTCTATATGTGAAGGTTGTGTACTTTGTAATACCACTTTCTTGTGGTTCCTAGTGGGTACAGTTAGACCCTTTGTGCAATGTTTGTAGGTTTCTTATAAACATCTGTGTGACGACCTCTTCTCTGGGGAGGTCTGGTTTTACTTTAAAACCGTTCTTTATATTTTGCTCTACTGGGTAATCTGGCTGCCACCAGGAAATTTTAGGCTTTCCAAACCTTTATACTTTCTTCTTCTGGTTTTGGTATTGTGACCCAGGGTCTGGGCTTTCGAGGAACTATGTGTTTCCTGAGGAAAAATGGATCAGGCTTCTGGGATAAACTTAAATAAAAAGGATTTATTTGAAGAATAGAGTATGAAGTTGTTTAAACTGTAACTGTTTTGGAAATAGGTATTTGTAAGTACATTAGGTCAACTATCACACTCTTTGTAACTTTGACTCTTTTTAAGAACTGTAGATTCACTTTACAGATATAAGCTCCTTTCTCTCTCACACTGTCATGGCACAGCACTTTCAGTTATCTCTCAGGGATTTATGCATATAACTTTGTAACACTCATTCATATAATGAACTAACTCGTCCTACACAGGGATGGGTCTCTCCTCTCTTACACAGAACTTAACCGTCTGCTTAACACAGAGACTTTTACTCTTATATTCCACACAGGAAAACTTCTCTCACAGAGACCTCAGGACAAAACTGCTTAACTAACTTCCACTGTCTGCATCAACTGTCATATCTCCTAACAGACACTCCTGATAGACATTCAAATCATCCACACAGCATCCATTCCAAAACCCCTCCCCCTCTCTGTCACTCACCAATCATATCACTTGCTTGTTTCCAGCACTCTAGATTATCATCACAGCCATGCAAACCAAACTTTTAAAGTCACACACACACACAAACATGAAATCGTTACAATCTGGTTGGCCACTGTAGAAAACTGAATGATGGACTAGATGTGAGCCAAGGTCACAGCTCACCTAGGGTGCCAAAAAACCTTGGGTTGGTCCTGGAGAGATCATACCAAGTAAACCTGGACTTGTGGGTCAACATACCAAAAAGGCTGGGAACCACTAGTCTAAGGAATGATAAACCCTAAACAATGTAGAAAGTAGATTACAAATGTGGGAGACAATGCTGTAAAAGCAAGATAATGCATACAGTGTGATATTATTCCCTTATTAAAGCATCCTCCTGACAATTCCATTATACTACAGTTCCAATCTAATCCCTTTTATAAAAACACCCCTGATGTATTTCCGCTTTGCCCATTCTATGGAATGATAGAAGTGTGAGGCAACAAAGACAGTGAGGGCTCTGGAGACCAAATTCTATGAGGAAAGGTTGAGGAAGCTAAGTATGTTTAGCCTGGAGAAGAGACAACTGAGAGGTCATATGATAGCCATCTTCAGGTTTGAAGGGCTTTCACATAGAGGATGGAGCTGAGTTGTTATCTGTTGCCCCAGAAGGTTGGACCAGAACCAATGGATTCAAATTAAATCAAGAGTTTTCAGCTAAACGTTACGAAGAACTTCCTGACAGAATGGTCACTCAGTGGAACAGGCTTCCTCAGGAGGTGGTGGGCTCTCCTTCTTTGGAGGTTTTTAAGCAAGAGGCTAGATGACCATCTGACAGCAATGCTGAGTCTGTGAACTTAGGCAGATCATGAGAGGGAGGGTAGGATGAGATGAGTCAGTGCTTGGCTCTTGTGGCCGATCACTACCCTGGGGACAGGGAAAAAATGCCAATTGCTACTTTGAGGTCAGGAAGGAATTTTCCTCCAGGCCAGATTGGCCAGAGATCCTGAAGATTTTTTGTCTTCCTCTGGGCATAGAACAGGGGACACTGGGGGAGCTAGTTGTGAATTTCCTATATTGTGCAAGGGATTGGACAGGGGACAGCCCTTGAGGTCCTTTTCAGCTCTATGTTTCTGTGTTTCCTAACCTCATCATATCGACTGTTCCACACAGTGGGAGACACAATAGAGAATGTGCACTTGTTGATCTTACCCATTTTCAGGGTGGCACCCTCAGATGACTAAAGTTGTCATAGCAGTGCACAGCAAGAAAGGCAGTAGTAAAGGTACGTGGGTCCAAACCCATTAAGAGCTTTGTGATAACCATTACCTCAGACTGAACCTGGTAACTGATTGGTAACCAATGGAGTGTCTATAGAATGGGTATGATATTCATGCTCCAACTAGCTCCTATCAAGAGCCTATACCATGAAGTTTCTGAGTTGAATTTAAAGGCAGACCTGTGTAGTGTACATTACAGTAGCCTAACCTTGAAGCAACCACATCATGGATTCACATAGTCAGGTCAGTCAGGTCAAGGTAGGGAGCCATCTTTCAAGCTAAATTAGATGAAAGAAACATTTTTCACAGATGCATTGATTTTCTTCTCCAACAATAAGGGTGAGTCCAGGTATGACCCATAAGCTCTTCACTAAGTCAGTGACTATTTGCCATTGAATGTAGGAAGCACAATGCCCTTCAAGACTTCAGATTTCCCAACCAGCATAATTTAAGTCTTGTCAGGATTCAGTTTCAGTTTGCTCACCCACTAACATTTAAGCACATCAGTCAGGCTATGGAATTTACATAGAGATTAAACAGCATGTGGGATGAGAATAGGCCTTGTGCAACCCCACAGAATCAGTCCCATACTGATGACACCTGGTCTTGAATAGCCACCCTTTGAGTCCTGTCCATAAGGAATGAGAAGGAACCACAGACACCTGGTCTTGAATAGCCACCCTAATCCTGTCCATAAGGAATGAGAAGGAACCACAGAGCATTCTTCAAGTGCAGTCAAAGCAGTGCTGATGGCTGCTACTGCTCTAGCACAAGGAATAAAGCAGGTATGAAGCACTGAAGAGCTGATGCTAGGAGTGTAGTGCCAAGCCCCTGGTACACTGTTTGGCAGAGCACAGGTTCAGACTGTACAGTATCTCCACTTCCATTTACTGACTGAAATGCGATCCTACATAACTAATTACTATCATGTCTTTTATTGTAAAAATTACCATGAATGTTTTGGTTGTTTTCCAAATAATCATTATAAATACTTTTCAAGAGCAATTATTTGTCTTTCTTTGACAGTATCACACTAACACTTTAAAAAAGAGCTGTTACAAATTGTAATAATGGTATCACTGCCTAAATCGATGTAGCTTTTCTTTAAAAAGGATATTCCAAACCTGACATCCACAGTTTTATTGCATTCATGATCAAAGACCTCAAAAGCATCCGTGATCTTCTTCTGGATATCTACAATTATAGACTCTGGAAAACAAAACAATGCCCACATGTTACAATTAATTCTACTTTAACTTCCCATCTTAACCTTCCATTCTCCTTCGGCTGCTAGATTGATTCTAATTTTGTCTTTAATTCTGTGGCGGGATGGCTTTGCCGCACTGTAAATGCGAGGCTACTTTCTCCCCAGACTTCTCCTGCCAGTTTGCAGCTTAGTCAGAAAGCTGGGGCAGAAAGTCACTTCTTGTCCCTGGCTTTCTGATAGTGTACCACCACCCCACATACAAATCAGCCTTCCTCTCTCTCCTGGTGTCACCCAAGGTCAATGCCATAGGGGTGTATTCCTTTAGCATGCCAAGTGGCAAGGCAGTGAGTAAGGAGGCATGCAGACTCTTTAAACCACAAGACAAGTTCTAGGTACAGTTAATCAATATAAAGAAAAAGAAAGTTATTGACTAGTTACAATCCATGGAAAATCTGGTCTTTGCTGACTGCACAGTTACCTGCCCCAGGTGTATTTGCAAGCATCCTCTAGTATCATTCCCCTCTATCATCTCTCATCACAAATGTACACACAAGTGTGCTGCTACCAGCAGCGACCAAAAACACAACACAATCTTCCACAAAAGACCCTCAAAGAAAGGAACAGATCCCCACATGGATTCCTAAGGCCTTTGCCAACCAGGGTGGCCGGTCCTGGGGCTCAAACCTGCCAAATTCAAAACAATTGTCTGAAATTTAATACACATGACACAAAATGAAAAGACGAAAACTCAGGTACCAATGCTTGGAATCACCATGGCAGGAGTGGAAGGGAACAGTGGTTAGTCCAAAACAGGCCTTTGAAGAAGGGCTTGCTGTTAAACCTCCCTCTTATTCCACGAACAGAGCCTGATGGTTCTCATTGGGGAAAATATATTACTCATAGTGTGATGCTGATTTGCATATGTGAAAAGGCAACTGTAATTAGTGTAATACAGTATTCAATGCTTAGTAGCGTATATACAGACCAATTAAGCTGCAAAATTAAGCTGGACCATTGACCCACCTAGCTTGCTATTGTTTACTAATTTTCTAGTCTACTCTGACTAGAAAGGGCTCTCCAGGTACTTTTGCAAAGGAAGGTAATTCACAACAGCAGCAGAGATCCTTCAATTTGAGATGTCACATACTGAATCTGGGACCTTCTGTAGTATCCTACCACAGAGCCACAGCCTCTGCCATAGATAGATGAACATACTTCAAAGAAAGGTCTTCAACATATATAGGAACAGGACAGGGATCCTATGACTTTTATTCTTGTGTAGAGAAGAAAATGTCAGCACCTGCAGCATTTTTACCCCTGCAACTGACATAAGCTGCATCTGCCAAAATCTGTTCTTGTGTACAGTAACTAAAGAGACACAAAGGAACTTTTTCCTCTACTGTATCTGATCATTCTGCTTAAGCTTGTGAAATTGCAGAAGATATCAATCTAATTCTGAACATAGACAAATCTGTAGACACTTAAATCCAGAGATTAGACCCAAGAACACACAAGACAGATCTTTCTACAAACTTGAAAAAAGCCCCAGGTTTGCAGAAAAATCTGAAACAAACAACAAAAAAGAGGGAGTCAACCCCCCCAAATAATAGAAGCAGCACCTGCAGCTTTAAGAAATGAATGCTCTCTTAGTGTCTGCTTCTAGGCAACACCAACAGTTGTAAAGATAAAATGGAAGAGTGGGGAATGATGTACATTGCTTTGGATCCCCATTGGGGGGAAAGGCAGGGCACAAATGAAGTAAACAATAAATTTAACTGAAGACAGGGGACAAATAAAAGGTTGGTGTGTGGGTGAGCAAGTAGGAAGGAGAGAAGGAAGCAGGGAAGGGTGAACATATGAAGGCTGCCAGGAACAGGAAAAGAGGAAATAGTATGGGGAGGGGAATACAGGGGAAAGTGAGGTGCCCTCTGAAAGTCCTTGTGAGTAGCCTACAATACAACTGGCCCAGTGGCCAGCACTGTACAACTCAGTCACAGTTTTTCAGGGAAGAGGCTGCCAGAGGAAGTGAACAAGGGCAAGCTGAAGGCGGGAAGGGTAATATTCTTGGGTTCAAGACAGAAGGCAGGTTAGATCAAGGTAGGTTGGGTGGTGGATGGGAAGGAGAGAAGGAAGCAGGAGAAGGGGAGAAGCTATGGAAGCTTTCAGAGAAGAGAAAGAGAAAAAGTGGGGGAGGTGAAATGAGATACCCACCCCGGCAAGTCCTTGGGACTGCTTGTTTTCCGTATTCTCCACAACCTTTGGATGCAATCTTTATCTTTTATTCTAGAACTGCAGACCTTCTATTCAGAGCACTTCAGAGCAGCTGCTATGCAAGATGTTTTATATGTGCATCTGTTGGAACCGATTTTAACTGTTTTAACTTTTATATACTGCATGCACTTTGTGCTCTGTGTGAGCCGCCCTGAGCCTGTTCACGGGGAGGGTGGGGTATAAATGCAATAAAATAAATAATAAATAATTTTTTTTCTTTATAGGAAATTACAGCATTGCCATAGATTTCAAAAGCATTAGATTTTTTCTCAAGCAAGATCCTGAAACATGTATGATTGCATGAGCTTTTGTAGGGAGCTGCTATTTGGGTTAGCAGCCTCGAATACAGACACTTTAGGAATTTCAGATTACTCTTTGTGAGCAGTGGAGCCAGGAATTCTCACGTCAGGTTTTCATCTGAACACAGCAGCTATAACATATTCCTCTGGAGTACCAGGGTCCTCAAAGCAGCAGTGGGTCTGTTTTAACATTTCTTCTTCAAAGGACCATTATTGAAGTCAGTGAAGAGAAAAGAAGCAATTATACCAGCACAGGTACATCAGTCAGTGTTGTTAAGAAAAGGGTTTTCAGTTGATAAACTGCTAGATTCCACCACTGAAGAGTTTATAAAAGCAATTTGTTGTTCTACTACCTATGTATCCGAATGATATCTATTTCAAATCCTGCTAATTCCGTTGACAGAACTAAATGGTTGAAATTGTTTGAAGAAGGGATGCCATCAGAAAAATTAGACAGATAGTCCAGATAAAGATAAAACAGTCTTCCAAACAGGACCCCCACTGGCCAACTGCCAAATTGCACCACTTTTTATTTTACCCCTGTTATAAGCCGTTTATTCACATCATAATGTAAAACAACTATGCATGCATTGGCTCAGTAAGGAAGTATGATACATTTATGCCCTGGAATGTTCTTATGTCCTACATGGCTGTAACTGTAATGAGCCATCAGTTCTTTAAAGTAGGGACACAGATTAACACACAGCTCTGAGGCAGGCTTGGAAATAAAAATGAAGGCTGCTATTTAGCAAAATAATCAGAGATAATATTTTGAGCTAGAACAAGAAATATATATGCAGTCAAAATAATATTCAAGTAAGTTACACCATCAGATATTAAGAAGTCGACAATATGTATAACAAGTGGGGGACCCGCAAGGACTTGCAGGGCGCATCTCATTTTTATTTCTACCACCAATTCCTTTTTACTTTCCATTGGGGCTTTCTTTTTTTCTTTTTTTCTTTTGTCTTTTGTAAAAGAGTTACTGGAACTCTCAAGAAGGAAATGAAGTTTTCAATCTGAATACTGAAAACTCACAAATGTTTAAACATTTTTAAATGAATTTTGTTGAAGAGGTTCCGGAACTCTGTTCCAGCATGTTCCCCTAGGGAAAAAAAGCCATGTTTTCCGTATCCTCTCCCACTTTCCAGCTTCCTTCTTTCCTTCCCATCACCAGCCAACCTATCTGTATCAGCCCCCCGTCTTCAGCTTTTCCTAGGGTTGCCAAATCGAAATTGGCAATCCTTTGTTTTCCCCTCAAATGGTGTGGCTCCGCCCCCAGCGTCCGACGTCACTTCCGGGTGACGCGGACGTGGGGGTGGGGTTTCCCCCGGGCCCCGATTCCGCGGGAGCAGGAATCGGGGCTCGAAACGGCATTCAAACCTGGGTCTCCCAGATGCTAATCTGAAACTCTAACTGCTGCACCACACTGGCTTGTGTGGGGTGGATACCTCTGAACAGCTGCAAGCAGCTGGGTCTAGGTGAGTCATGCAAGTCACCCAGTGGTTACCGGCGGTCCTGGTCCTGAAGAGTCCTCCCTCAAAGAACATAGCAGCTCTGGAAGGGGCCCTGCCCCTACCCTTTACCTTTTGCTGACAAAAACAACACTTGAAGGCTGGTGGTACTGTTATGGTAGCCTTGCAACAGCTACTGAAGGCATTCAGTCTTTAAAGTTACAGGAGCTGATTCTATTACTTGGTATGTGTGTTTTAACTCTCCAATTAATTTTTTTTTAGATTACAGATTTTTCTGCATATCTAGAGCGTTTGTTGGGTTTGCAGAAAGATCTTCATAGTCCCAGTCTCTGGATTTAAGTATCTACAGATGTGGCCATGTTGAGAAATAGATGCATTGATGATTGTTCCCAACACTCACAAAATAGCTGTCATGCTATGTTTAGCTCAAGGAATAGAGAGAGTGGAAGAGAGAAAGAACAGCAAGGAGAAGGATTCCATTTGTTCTGTATGGGGAAGACCAGCATACAGGCATCTGGTGATTCAAGGGGACCCCAGACTTACACAAAAACAGGGAGGGTTTGGAGTTCTAGGAGGGAGATCTTGGTAGGGAAGCCAAGTGGAAATCCAGGCAAGGATTCAGTCAATAATCCATCGAGATCCAGAATGAGACACATATGAAGCAGGACTGCGCAGAGCAAGGACCCACGGTACACAGTGGGCATACTTAACGAACGAAAAATTTAAGACATTTGGGGGGAGTTCTGACAGGAGTCAAGAAACAACAGAATTCAGACTTGATTTTCCCAGACTGGAACAGAGGTGAGGGAAATGCAGGCAAAGTCAGATGAAAGCCTTCTAATTGGTACAGGGGGAGGCTTGAGGTGGGGAGGAGGTACAGCTAGGAGTGGCTTTCATGGCACAAAGCTTTCCAATGGAAGGTGAAAGAAATGTTGGAATTAGAGAAGTGTCACTTCT